CGAAAAAGTTGGAGAAGAACGACCTGCAGCTTCCTTTGGTGGGCGCCTGTCCAGGGGTTTCCCGGGATGGCTGTCTAGCTCTCGTAGGGGCTGCCACACAGTCCATACGCCTAAAGCCGTGGGGTTGCAGCGTCGGGTGGTAGGGGCTTCTTTCTTAAGGGACCGACCACTGAGAAGTGCGCCTGACATTCAACCACTGGGAGCGTGACGACTTCTCCTATCCATCTATTCTTCTTAGGTGCTATTACGATACTCACCGCTGGCTTCCATTTGAACTGCAAACAATCACTACAGCACATAGGAGCATATCACACAAACCGGGGCTGGAACGACAAGGGTTATTACATACATGGCATTGTATGGATCATGCAGCTGAGTGACTGAGCAACAAAACATATCGCTATTTAACAGACCATGTACGTGCTTCCCTCGAGCTAGCAACAACGAATATCTATTGTCTCTACTCCGTAGTTACCTTTTATCAAGGCACTACACAATCGCTCAAGTCAAATAACAAAATCTACCACGCGCAGTTCTGCTGCAAGGTACCTGACAGCTAGTTGCTGGCACTGACTTTTGGTGTGCTAAGGAAATTGACCGATTCCGCAAGCAAGCAAGCCGTCGATCTTGAGGCGCACGCCGTCGCCTTTTCCAAGCACTGCTATTCGATGGATGCACCCATCAACGGTTGGCCATCCACGTATCCAAATGCAGCACAATACATACAGATTCAATTCGGCTTCCTCTCTTTCTCTTCCGGCAACCCTTCAGCCTCAGGGGTTTCAGGCGAGCGCCAACGGATCCACGGGCCATAATAGTTTTGTTCACTGATGTCCTCTCCCATCCATTGTGCTCTGTTCGAAGCCTGCACTAGGATTCGTCAAGTACATTATGCTTCGGATATGGATATGCGCTCTTCACCCCCACCGCTCGTTCAACTCTGTTGTCGGTGCGGAGTACAGTGTACATGTAAAGTCGCGCGTGTGGTATGCTCCACGATCATGCTGCAGGCCAGGAATCGCTAGTTAGTGTCAGGTCTTATCCCCTGACCTCCAGGGCGCAGGGCAGACTTCATGGGTGTCCCTCCCGTCCCCATAACAATACCCACTAGTCGCCGTCTTTGCTCCATCAGCTACGCATTGGGGTGCCACATTAGCTGAGCGAGCCAGCATCCCAAGTGGTGGTGATGGGATGTTGGTTGGAGTGCTTATCGACCATGGGTTGAGGTCTGGATTCTGGACATACAAAGGAAACAGTCCTCAACTTAAAAATAATTATATGGCGAAGTTAACGGTCCCGACGGGGCGGCCACGCACGCTGCGGGTGCAACACTGCATACGATATGAGGCGTCAACAATCTGTATGTATCGCTGGGCGTGCCTGCGTATGTATGCGGGATACTGTATCCGTCTGCATCAACATGCTTCACCCAGCTGCATGCTTGATGCAGTAGACATGTGGAAGACGGCACTCATCACCGATGGCGTCTGATGAGTTGTCCTATTCTGTGATTCCCCCCTTTGTGCCTGATATCGGCCAAACCGAACTGTCAGCGCAGCAACAGCCTGATGTGCTGTCGTTTTGAAATGATGGATGGCCTCTTAAAGGTGTCGTACAGATACCTACCTACATACAGTTCCCTAGCTACCTACCTTAAGTAACTAGGTATGTTCCTGAGCGGCACGAGCAACCCGGCGAGACAAAGTCCTGTGTCGCACAGAACCGGGACACGGTCAGGGATGGTCTTGGTTTGAGTGTGAGCCTGTCTCGGCCGGTGTTCAGTCCCCATTGAAGTGCGAGATCCCCCATTTGTATCGCCCCGGCTGAAGTCAGCCACGGGTTAAGTAACGGCTGTACGGGTATTGGATAAAGTGCTTTTGTGCCTATTCTCTGGAGCACACCGTGATAAATTAATGAGCAATCGACGGGAGAAGGATGTGAAACCATGAAGCCCAAATAAGTGAGAAACGAATAAAGCCCCGATTGGGGTCACAGTGTCTTGTCCTTGTTTATTGCCGACCACTCCTGTCCTCACCGTTTTCGTGGGTACAACGTGTGGAGGGTGTGTCGAAAACGCTCCACATATCAAGATCGTATTTGGCGGGGACTCACTCAAGACGACTTTGATCTTTCTTTAGTCACTTTGCCTTGCTTGTTTCTCTGTGTTTATGGCTGTGGTTTATATCATTCAATTTCTGACCCTTCCCCTGACTACCTCTCTGGGATGTCATGAGGGCAGGCGTTACTTGGCCGCCTACGTCAGTTGTGTCTCCATCCGACTTATTGAATCGGACCTACCTCCCTACCTACCTAGGTACCTTAGATACCAAGGCTTGTCCTGACATCGTTCCTCCCGATCGACGGTCGAGTTGTACAAGGGAGGCAGGTCTGGCGCTGATGGTTGCCCGTCTCGAATCCCAAAATTGACAAAACCCTGTAGATCTTGTTGATGGAAATGGACAACTCTTGCCATTTACAGAATTTGACGCCGTCCTTGAGGCAAGGTCGTGATTGGACGAGACTCGAGGCTTGTTGAACGACGATTTCTTCCTTATTGATAGTAGTTAGGTATTTCCAACTCCCACTCAATTAAACATGAATATCTCTTTCAATCTCCCTTTTCTTTGACTGTTTTATGACTGTTCAGTGATACTTTTCAATGATTATTCGATTCTGGGCCTAATAATAATTGACTTTTGAGGCGTTGCCAAATTTGGCACCAGCGTCAATAGTGGCCAAGGAAAGCCTCCTAACATAGGTCAAAGTCAGGGCCAACGACAAATACCCCTGATGGATCTCGTAGAATACGAAAGCACGAGCCACGTTGTGATGCAGGTACGGAGCATTGACGGTGATAGACGACATTCAACACACGAGGAATGCCTCCGTAGTAAACACACTAATACGCGAAGCAGACACGCTTTAAACATCCAGCATCCACCCTTCACTCTATCTTTGTTTGTACAGTACCTTGTGTATGTATACATGGGCCCCGCACCGGCCAATCCAAGAGCCTTATTCAAGTCACCATCGACAAGACAGGAAATCAAGAAAGAAACAGGATACATATGAAGAGACTTAGACCGGGGACCTACTCCAGCCCTGGCACTTTTCTCCTGAGTCGGCAAGTCCTTGAATTAACGTTCCGAGACTGTCTAGCCACACTCAAATCTAAACTTGGATACGGATTCTTTGCTATTCTATTCAGAGGACTCATATAAATCTGACAGAGCATGAATGTCATCGGGCCAGCTCAAGTTGATCATATTATGGCCGTCCATTGCTATCTTTAGCAAGCCATGAGCCGAATCTAATACAAACTCGATCTTCTGACACATGACAACTCACCTTGTCAGATAGTATAGCCAGCCACATCCGACGTACCGAATGATATTGTATGTCAATTCCTTTCAAGCACCTATCGTCATCTTTCCACGCAAGCCGAGATATGTTTTCTTGATTGGTATTCACTGAGTTACGGATACAAAACGACTTACCCAGTATGCTCCCTTCAACTGTTCGCATGGGCTTTCAGCTCTCCTTTGGACCGCGACCTGACACTAGGGGGCACCTGTTGGGCTCGGGATTGTCAAGCTCGCAAGCTCGCAGAAAAGCGTTGCTTCATCCTTGCTCATCTCTCAAGGCACTCGTCCTTCATCGGTCTGCACGATGAGTGTCAGGTAAAGTGCCGAACAACCAAGCTAGGCCTGAGCGCATGGCCGTCACAATCATACTAATGCCGCCATCCCATCCACCCACAACACTTACACCTCGACGGCGTCGTCTGTTTCAGGTCGCTCTCCACGTTGGACCGTGTGTTACGTACCCGGCCATTGGTCCTCTGGGTCCCCATCTACGATAGCAAGTGCTACAACGCGGCTATCATCGATCTTAGTGTGATGCGTTGTTTCGATTGATATTCGCTCATCCCGGTCGATCGCCATGGCCTCCTTATCCTAGTCCCCGGGGAGAGTTCCTCGCTTCTGAAGAGAATCTTTCGAGCTTGAAACAACATGGCTTGAGGGAGGGACCGCGTACGTCTCTCAAAGTCTGATTAGAAATAAAGTCTGAACCGACAGAGTGACAGACTATACTCACGAGTCAACTACTCCGGATTCGTGTATACATACATTCCCTAAAGCAGAACGAACAATTTAGGTATCACTTAGAATACGGCCATCGCCGTTCGGAAATTCGATCTGGTCTCTCCATTTCGATTTTCCACCTTACAACGATGTAATATGATATCAGCTCTGTTGCTCAATTCTGGATACAAAACACGGTTCATCAAACCCATCATACAACACTTACGCTACATTCTTTCGAGTACTGAGGGTGACTCTTCCAACAAGTAGTCGGTGCCATTACTATCACTAAATACTTTTGGAGTGACATACCTTTCAAACCCTGTACCGAGTTGCCATGCTCAAATTCTTACGGATACAAAAGGTGTCACAACTTTGTCTCATGGTGCAGCTCATACTGAGTTGCCCGACCAGGTCGGATCTTGCTGTGAGGTCGATGCCGATTCAAGCGTGAAATAGTCACATACTGTCGACATCCTGGCCACTTAGCGACTCATTTTCGTGCTCCTGTAGTAGCAAGACGTAATTGACAATTGGACATGTTGAAGCCCCCTACCGTCAATCACACAGATTAGACACTAGTAAGAACAAGAGCCATAATGTCTTGGTGATGGACAGTGACCTTTGCTATTGGCTCCTAGGTCTTAGACAAATGCTTGTATGGCATCTGGGATGTCAAAGTCTTGAGATATGGTTTAAGACACGGCTCACAAGCGAGATCGGCTTGGGAGAACTCTGTTCAACCCTGGGCCCTGGACCCTGGACCCCGGGCATCCAGACTATCGAACTTTGCGGGCTGAGGGATGACAATGAATATCATGATCATAAAGTGTCATGTTGAGGAGTCATAGCGTCCTCGCCTTTAGCAACTGGACGCTGCGGGTATCATTCATTCGTCGTTTTGATGGGTTCTCTTCATCGTGCCGCGGCTCGTCTTGTGCCTAGTTTCCCAGTCGCCAGATATCCTCTGTTTCCCATCTCACCTCTCCATCCGATTCCCAATGATCCAAAGATAATTCTCCCGTCCGGTGTCACCTCCACACCCGACTCGGTGCCGTCCTCCGCGACCACGAAGCAAACCTGCTCCACTTCACCCGGATGCAGCACCGGCTTTTCGCCCCCGCTCGCCTCCCAGTTGCAGTCTCGATACCGCAACCCAGGCTCCGTGTCTAGTACCACCTTCTCCAGCTGCACCACGTCTTCACTACAGTTCTCCAGCTGCGCCTCGAGCACCCATCGCCCGTGTTCTTGAGTGTTGTTGGAGTTCAGGGGACCAACCTTGGTCCGCACGATGAGTGAAGCTTTGCAGATAAACTGGTAAAGCTTTCGGAAAGTTCTTGTTCGCCCACTTGTTTCTGTCGCCTCGTAGTAGCTCACTGTTACCGCAAGCACGTGGTTGCCCTCCTCCTTAAGATCGAACGAGACCACTTTCTGCAAGGTACCTCCAGACTCAAGATCAACTTCAGATTGGTCATTCGAGGGGCCAAGCTCAAGGCGCTGAACAGCACCCATACCAGGTGTCTTCATCTCTGCTTCGATACGCACATCGCGAATATTTTTGGCAGCATCTATTGGTAGCTCATTGTTCGCGCAAAGAGTGCAGCTAAAAGTCTCGCCGACATATGCCGAACCAAACGATACCGGGAGGTTGACGGCGGGACTGAGAAGGAAGGGAGATGGGTTCGAGGCAGCTTCGGAATGGTACGCGAGTGAAGCAGGGATCGGGGCTGATTTGATGGATGCGCCTACTGAAGAGGGCGAATCGATCGGGTATTGAGTAACGAGCGACGGACGCGACAGTCTTGAAGTTGATCGTACGTTAGCTACCTAGGTAAAGCTCGGAGCCATCTGTACCTGGACTCATATCGCTAGGTACTTAGCTTACCGAAGCACTTTGAGTGAGATAGAATGGGGCTCCTTGACTGGATCGTGAGAGGGATATCGCTGATGACTCATCTTGCCATCTTTTTCTCGGCGCAGCAATTACACTATAAGAAAATCGTGATAATTAAGTGTATTTAGTAGTCGTATGTAGGCGGCGCGTCTAGATGTCAAGGTTACATGAGATGCGATGAGGGTGTTGTTTCTCTTATCGATAAGGGGCCGGCCCCTCCCGTCGTGCTGAACCACGTACAAGTTTTTAGAATCCATCCGCTTCGAAGTAAAAGCCTGCTAATATAAGACTAATGACTAATTCTTACGCTGCATATTAGTATCTACAACTTTTACAAGCTAGAGTCATTAGAAACGCCATGTCCCTGATCTGTCAGATAGTATAATACTTTAGTAAGAAACGTCACCTTCTTCACTGCGAGTGTATTGTACTTCGACCTGCAATATGTCATTCCTAAAAAACCAACTTTGCGACCTACTGGAAAGCAATTCTGCTATTTCATAATCGCATCCATACAAAGATGGTTCGATGAGAATTCCTACTCAGATAGCTCGTAATCGCATACGAGCCCTGAATCAACACTCTTTCTTTCTGCAATGTAAACTGGAGCGTTCACGTACATGGCCATGGAATTCCATATCCAGCGGCATGTTTTTCAGTCATAACCTGATTCTGTGGCTCCCCTTTGATGATGGGTGACCCGATCAAAAATCAAAGACCTGGCGGAGGAGGAACCTGCCGAGTGTTAGCATATACCTAAGGGGGGAGATATCTTGTAGAATTCGAGCTGGATATCTCGGCATCTTTGTCACATACCGAACCATAGCTCCCGCCTGTTCCCGGGGGGGACCCAGAAGGGGGAGGCGGGGGAGGTGCCGAGCTGGGCGGCGGCGGCGGAGGAGGAGCGGCCTCACTCGGGGGCGGAGGAGGTGAAGCTGACTGCCCAGGCGTGGCACCGGGAGCGCCAGGAGCCTGTGCTTGAGCCTGAGCTCCATAGTATTGCTGGTACATAGCAATATAGCTGTAGTAAATCGTCAGCGTCACGGAGTAGACATCTCGAGCGGCAAGCTCTACTTACTTAGCATAACCACCATAGGCTGCGTAGGGATCTGCGCCACCGTAGTACTGGGCGTACTGGGCGGCATAGTCAGCAGCATTGGTCGGGCTGTTCACGCCAGCAGCGGCTGGACTGTTTGAAGCACCAGCCGGGTTAGACCCGTATCCACCATAGCCAGAGGCGCCATATGAGCCATGAGAAGTTCCGTGTGAGCCACCATGGGAATGGTTTCGGTCACCGCCACCATTGTAACGATCACCCCCATAGCGGTCCCCTCCGTAGCGGTCGCCGCCGTAGCGCGGTGGACGACTCTTGAACTCTTCATACTGTTCCTTGACATTGGCGATCAGGTCCTCGCAAAGCTCCTTGGCTTTCGCAACCATATTGGGGTCAGGACCGCTGCGTTTATGTTAGTTGTGGATGTCCCAGATCAACAAACACGCCAACTCACGTCACATGGAGGAACATGTCTTCGTCGCTCTCTTGGTTAGTGGCTGCCTCGAGATATCCAGAACCTCGTCCCTTAATCTGCACGCGACAAGTTGTCTCTTGCTGGATATGCTTGACGTAGGCACCTCCGTGTCCAACGACCTGAGCACGCAAATTGAACCCATGTACGGGCTCTAGGCTGATAGGAATCTTCTCTTCGGGCCATTTACGCTACACAATGACTGTCAGCATCTTTGTTCCACCTGTAAATTGCGAGAACCTTACTCGGCCAAACTCATCACGTTCAACCTGCTCCTGGTCTCGACGGCGGAAACGCCTTTCATCAACAAGCTGAGGGAGTTCCTGTTGAATAAGTTCGTTGATCTTGGCGACAGCAGCCTCCAAGCCAGACTTGCTCGTGCTCGTGATGTGAAGGTACAACGGAGGGTTCTATAAGGGATCAGAGTGAGGCCCAACCAAGACTGAAAGATTTCCTTACCGCAGCGGTTGCCATACTCTTGTTGGGATAGTAGCTGCCCCGGGTGGTAATATCTTGCTAAGTCAATACGATATCCTACGGGGGAAAAAATGAAGAAATTGCGTACCAGCGCCGGTTTCGTCTTTAATCTAATCGAGTGGGAGTCAGCAGGAGCAACGAAGGGGGTATTGAAGCGAGCTATCAAGCTGTAAGCATGATATTCTCGATTCAAGTGCATAATAAATCCAAAGGAGCGGTTCTGGGAAGATCAGTGGGCTGCAAAGCAGGAGTATTTACCATTTTCTGCGTGGACCCTTTGGTGAGGAGGTAGCGATTCCTGAGGTCATTGACTTCGATGTCCTGGATATAGTCACCATCTGCAACATACATCTCGCCATCGAGTGCCGGAGCTGTCTTGTTTGCGCTTTGTAGAGTCGAGGTTGGTCGCGGCGGTGGTGAGTCGGTATCAGCCGACCTGATGGGAGGCACATCGACATGCTGGATTCCCTTACGAGCTTGGAGCTGCGCGTTGATGCGCGCCGCAGCGGCAGCTATGTATTATATTAGAGACGTGTGTAGACAAACATTGTCGCGATGGGTTTTAAAGAAAGAAGAAGAAGGAAAAGGCATGGGACAAGGGCACAAACCAGCGGCAGCGGCAGCATCAGTTGGAGATTTCCTTGCCTCGGGGGTGGCATCTTTTGCAATGGGGCTGCGATCTCTTCCGGGCTCAGAGCGACGCGACGGGGGAGATCGCGAGCGACGGTCAAACCGCGATGTCCTCTTGGGTTCTGGCTCTGTCTGGTCGAAGCGCGAACGCTTCACCGTTCGTCGTTCTGTTTCATCCATACTTGGCGAGTTGCGAATATTGAAATAAAAATTGGGGGGTATAGGTCGGAGCTACGCCACGTGGAAGTACAGAAAGATACCGAGCTGTCGATAATGGTCTATATGCACCCATGTATCAATGCAAATCCGGTGTGAAAAATGGCAACCGAAATGCGCCTGTGTTGAAGTGGAGTTGATGTTTGATGGTTTACGGACCAGCAGGAACCTGAAAAGGCTGATTGTACATCGTTCAGCCTTCCGCCACGTGTGGCTGGTGAGCTACCCGACACCGGCGGTGCGAATGTGGGGGAGAGCTTGGGCCAATAGGTACCCTACGTAGATAGCAATGGGCAAAATGGGGTAAAAGCGTAGACGAGTGCGCAATGCAGAGGAGTATAGAAGTGTCTGGTTATATCATGAGCGCTGGGCTCGGTTTTTTCAGTTAATTTGTTTCGTAAAGCTCTGGCATTTCGATTTCTCTGGTAGATTTCTTTCCAAGTGATTAACAAGTGCTTTTTCATTGGACGGGAGCTTGAGGTGGTAGGTACTGTGGCTTTGAGCCCTGCATGATTTACAAGGAACCTGGGGATTGTCATGGGCATGAGCTGGGGTCAATTGCTGTATTGCATCAAGTTGTAGCCTGCCTATAAGAACAATCCAATCTTTATGATCGCTTCGGACTCAGTGGTTCATTCATATAGTATAAGCCATTGCAAATCGTATGCAAGCTCGAAAACAACCCTATTTCCATACCTCTTGATAGATACCTTAACCTAGACTCGGAGCTTACAGCGGACCCTTGCCGAGCTGATCCGTGCTCCTGTGCAAACACCTGCCCGCCCTGGCCCCCGTATCTCTGTGGCCTCCGGTCACCGGCCTATTGATGGCCCATTGATTTTTTCGGCATTTCCCTCGACCTATCTCTTACTGACTTTGAGTCACCTTCATCCCATCCTCCGCCCGGCCCAATTGCTATTTCTACCGTGTTGGGACCCTTCTTGTTCTGACCAGAGAACTGTTCCTGTTCTCCTGTCTCCGCAAGATGGCTTCTCTACGGCCCTTGACTTCGTCCCTTCGCTGGGTCGCCTCTGCGAGAGGCGTCGCCGCTGTGCGATATAGCTCTTCCTCGACCTCCGCCATCGCCTACAAGGCCCTCCGCCGTCGCTCTGCTCCCCTTCCCGTGAGCGACAATCCTCCTGCGTGGTCCGCCCAGGCCGCCGTCTCCAACATTCTTTACGAGACCCCAGTCCCTTCAACCGCTCCTCCCAAGCGCCATATCCTCAACTGTCTGGTCCAGAACGAGCCTGGTGTTCTGTCCCGTGTTTCCGGAATTTTGGCAGCTCGCGGGTTCAACATTGACTCTCTGGTCGTGTGCAACACTGAGGTTGACGACCTTTCTCGCATGACCATTGTCCTCACTGGTCAAGACGGCGTTGTTGAGCAGGCTCGCCGACAGCTTGAGGATCTGGTTCCTGTTTGGGCCGTCCTTGACTATACCAACGCAGCTCTTGTCCAGCGCGAGCTTCTCCTTGCCAAGATCAACATCCTTGGCCCCGAGTACTTCGAGGAGCTCCTCCACCACCACCGCGAGATTGCTGCTGGAGAGACTGATGTCGATTACGCGCATGAGGCCATTGAACGTAGCCTCTCCGATACCGCCAAGGACTTCCATCCCAGCAAGTTGGCCGTCAGTCAGGCTCTGCGACACAAGCACGAGCATCTCAAGTCGATCACTTACTTTGCCCATCAGTTTGGCGGCAAGGTCCTAGATATCAGCACCAACAGCTGCATTGTTGAAGTGTATGTTGCCCACCGTCTCCCTCTTATCTAGTCAATCATGCGCAATACTAACATGGGGTTCCAGTTCTGCTAAGCAGTCACGTATCGACTCGTTCCTCAAGCTTGTTGCTCCCTTTGGCATTCTTGAGTCTGCCCGTACAGGTCTGATGGCTCTACCCCGATCTCCTCTGTCTGAAGGTAACCAGGAGTCCCTTGTCATGGAGGCAGACGAGGTTGTCGATGCCAGTCAGCTCCCTCCAGGTTAAAATTAAATAGATACCTCAATTTAGTGACCCGGCCGAATGGCGTTTTCAAGGAAAGGATCTGATTTAATTGATTTAATTCCCAAGACTATTTTTATTGTTCGTGCGCCAATGCTCCACCTCCCGTCAAGTATGGGCAGGTAGTAAATGATATCGTATCCAGTCGTATTCCGTCTTCTCACCATACTTTAGAACTTGCCCTTGTTGACGACAAAGCCTTCCAAGGCAGCTGTCGACGTTAGTGTCATGCTTCTAAACGAAATACCGTAAAGACTTACAAACAGCGGCCCAGAGACGGTTCTCGGCCTCGGGAAATACCAGAGAGCGGGGGCTGTAGAAGACCTCATCGGCGACCTCCTCGGGGTGTCGAGGGAGGCAGTGCATGAACTTCCAGTCCGACTTTGCACCTCCTCGCTTTGCAAGGTCGTTCGTAATCTGGAAACCAGCAAAGTCCTTGAGGCGCTTCTGGGTATCAGCCTCCTGGCCCATGGAAACCCATGTATCAGTCACCAGGACATTGGCATCCTTAACAGCCTCCTCAGGGACGTTAGTCTCAAAAAGCTTGCCGGGTGAGGACACGCCGTCAGCAGCGGAGCTGATGAGTTGCCTCATGTTGTCAGGAATCTCATATCCCTTAGGGGCGGCAACGGATATGTCAACACCCATCTTGACACAACCGATGGCAAGATCGAACAGAACATTGTTGGCATCGCCGACCCAGGCGACCTTGAGGCCATTGAGGCCCAGTGTAGCTCCCTTGGCGCTTGCTGCTGGGAAGGTTTCATGGAGAGTGAGGAAGTCAGCAATCGTCTGCAGAGGATGGAAGTCATCGGACAGAGCGTTGATGACAGGTACACTTGAGTGCTTTGCGAGATTAGCGACATCAGAGTGAGGTCCAACTCGAGCGACCATACAGGAGGTCATGGAAGAAATGACAACCGAAGTGTCGTATAGCGACTCATTAACCTTGGCAGGCATTAGTACAGGTAGGTCTTCATCATGTAAGTGCAACTTACACCAAGCTGGATATCATCCTTCCCGAGAAACATGGGATTGCCACCAAGCATAGTCACAGCAGCTTCAGTGGAAACTCGAGTACGGGTACTGCGCTTGCTGAACATCATAGCAACGGTCTTACCAGCAAGACCAGCGTTGAGATAGCTCGCGGGAGCTCCGCCCTTGACGGCTATTTTTCGAGTGTTGGCATCACGGACAAGGTTGGCAAACTCATTGGGAGTGAGATCGGCAATTGTCATGAGATGCCTCGGTGTTGCAGCCTGTGAGTACGCTCGTTTCTGAAGGCCTGCAGCGGCCTCTCGAGCGATTCGGAAAGCTGAAGTCTTCATTTTAAGCTGTGTGTTGAGTTGAGTGAGTCAATGAGTAATTGTATAAATGAGAAAATGAGCTCTGAAGCCTAGAATTGAGCTGAACGTCAGATCGAGGAAGAAAGTGAACTTTTCTTTAAGCCAATGGCTTAAGTAGGTCAAGATATGATAAGTCTGTGTGGTAGGAAGAGTCACCATTGGAGGGCCATGTCCCGCTTTCTCCCAAAGAGCATATGCCCCACTTTAATGTGATGTTAAGCCGGTCTCGGGACGCTGACTCTAATTAATGAGATACCTAAGTAGTCCCAAGATATCTATCACTTAGACGACCTCATTACACATGGTTGGATCTGATTGCGATTTATATCGATCGTGTATACATACAAACGTATTGGATAGTTGTGAACCGAATGTGTTGCCGCTGTTGTCAAACTCCACTTACATGACGGTGAGTGAGCCCTTTGGACCTAGGTTTCTCAGGTTAAACGCCCGTTACCGATGGTTGAATTTTTAACAGCCATGATCCTGTTGGCTGACTGAGCTCGTCAATTTACGCCAAGATTTCGAGATGGAAATAAGTAGGTAATAAGGGTGTAGAGAATCATAATTGGAGTGTTTTCATTGCTCAACAGCCTCTCCCCTTTGTAAACCTTAGGAAGCTGTGATAAGCATGAGTGAAATATCTTGTCTGCTTGTTCCGTTTCAGATTCCAAACGTGAGCTGCTTTCTGTCTTACCCTGAGCAGAGGCGATGAGAGCTCTCAGCCGCGTGATATATGTGCCTAGATCCCTGGTATTGGAAGCAAGCCGACGAGCTCGAGGAGATATTGTTATGCCATAAGATAGCTGTCCCCCTCCCAAGTCTCCTCCAGACACGCCTAGGCGGCGCTAAAAGGTCTAGAGTGCACATATTCGTGAAGGTGTTTATGTAAATAGTACATGTGTGTTGATTTTATTGCTGCGTTCTGATGATATGTCTGCTCATTTGCTGTCTTGGTCAAGATTCTGCTGCAATATCGCCTGGTGGCATTATTATTTAGGTACCATTTATGGGCTACCTACCTACCTAGATAAGTACTATAGGTATAAAGACACCTCTATATTGGGATCACTACATATTGATTGCCAAAGATCTATTAGCTTGGAAATCGAAATTAAAATGGAAATAGACCCTCAACTTTGATCTATTAATAAAGATTTGTTCAATTAAAAAATGACGTCGCGTGCGAGACCAAATTCCAAACCCCCCCCAAGGAATGGAGTTTCAGGATCTAAAAGCTGGGGCCTGAGGTGCCTTGTGGTTCTGTTCCTGGATCAGACATAACCAAGCCAATCACAGCACCGCCCGCTACAACCTTATCACTCATAAACCCTGCCAAAGTGACTTCACCTCGATGACGAATCCCTACCTAACCTCAACTTGATGATTACTTCTGACATCAACATCGTCCCCAACATCCAACACATCATCAACCTCCCTCCTTGAACTGCAGATACATTACTACAGCCTGCCCCAACCCACTTGCGCCGCATGAGCGTCCCGAATCTCTGATAGCCGGGTTTCCACTTCATCCGATACGACTACAATGCCGGCCGAGGAGAACGAGCCTCTTGCCTCCCCAACGCGCGAGGAAGAGGAGCCTACCGAAACATCGCCACTTCTTAACAGAAGCGATGACGGGAATCACGATGACGATAGCGAGCGCGAACAAAATGGTCGAGCCTCGAATGAGCCTCAGTCCCGGGCCGCGTGGAGTCTCTGGTCAATCTGTAACAAGAAGACCAGCACCAAGGCACCTTGGCGGTGGCCTTCCATCATAGCCATGGCGCTCCTTGGTATCATCGTAATTCTCATCATAATTCTCGGTTTCCTCGTCCCGCCTGCCGTCAAGGAGTACGCCGAGAAAGCCGCTGTTCTTGAACCTACCAATCTATCAATTGAGAACATCACAAGCGATGGCATCCGGGCGCGTATTCGTGCAAATGTCTATCTCGATGGATCGCGGGTCGACAATCAAAATTCCCGCCGTATTGGAAAAGCAGTCACTGGAATTATGCGAAAACTTGAGACCAAAGAAACAATCGTCAACGTCTATCTACCCGACTACGCCGATGCGCTTGCTGGCACTGCTGTTATTCCTCCCCTAGTCGTTGATGTAGTTAATGGACACACCAATGAGCTAGACTTCGTGGCAGATGTGAACCCCGGCGACGCTGAGCATATCCGCAAGATTGCGAATGATTGGTTACAAGGGAACCTGAAGCAATTGAAAGTAGTGGGCAAAACCAAGGTTCACCTCAAATCGGGAATCATCCCTCTTGGTGCTCACGATGTGGCGGAATCCATGGTCTTTGAAGGTCAGGCTCTCTACCGCTCCTATGCTACTCTATTCTTAGGAAAGAAGACACTCTTTTAATGAGAAAAGGCGAATTTATTTCTGTAGTGCTGGACTGACAAACTTGCAGCTAATGATATCCCATCAATGCCCAAATACAGCATAGAGCGCATGGATCTTCACGATCGCCCGGTAGATGGCCACGGACGAAAAGTGATCGAGGCCGACATATCCTTGAAAGTCCACAATGACTACCCAGTGTCCTTCCGAGTCCCGACTCTTGGGTTTGAGGTTTTGGTGCCCAACTGCGACTCATCACTGCCCTCTATCAGTGTTGCAGATGCTGTCACGGAGCCGATTGATGTTAGAGCTAAGGCAGATGTTCAAGCCGACGCCAAAGGCATCATCCGCGACATTCCAGAATCTTTGACGAAAGCGTGCCCTCATTCTGAATCATCCCCTCTCGACCATTTCATGGACCGTTATCTGCACGGCGAGGATGCCAAGGTGTTTGTGAGAGGGAAGAAGACAAACAATACTGATACCCCCGAATGGATCTCGGATATCCTGGAGAGTATTACAGTACCAGTAGATTTTCCAGGACGATCATTTGATAGTTTGATTCGCAACTTTTCCCTGACGGATGTCGACTTTAAACTACCCGACCCTTTCGCCGATGTCGATGACCCCGAGGGCGAGCCCCGAGTATCTGGTACTGCACAAGTGCTCGCAGCTGTTCCACCTGAGCTGAATGTGGATTTGGGGGTGGACAAGCTCCGCTCCAACGCTGATCTGTTTTACAAGAAGCGTAAAATGGGCGAGTTGAACCTGCGCCACTGGCAGAGTGCCAACTCAACAAAGATCCAGGATAACGAAAACGGCGAAACTCTCCTTAACATTACATCACGGCTGGTCGACGTCCCCTTGACAATCACCGACGGTGACGTGTTCAGCGAGGTCATGCAGAAGCTACTGTTTGGAGGCGGCGATATCACACTCGACATCAAGGCCGAAGTCGACGTAAAGCTGAAAACCGTACTCGGCATTCTGACGGTGAAGAAGGTTCCCGCAGAGGGCAAGATTCCAGTAAACGGTCCGTCATCGCTGTGGTAATCTCTTGCATCCCCCATGAGGATGAATAATCCTTATCTACACGCTGAAGTATTTTCTTAACACGCCTTGCGATCATGGCAAGAGCCAATACTGACCTATGATCAGGATTCCCTGGAAACGCACTTGGTAAACTCAAGCCTCAAGTCGGCGAGATCGAGGTCATGGAAACTACAGAGACGGGGATTCGGATGAGAGCTCTTGTCAACCTCACAAACCCTACACCCTACGCAGCTGTTGTACCTTATCTCAGCGTACACATTCTTTACGATGGGGAACTTCTCGGCGAGGCCATATCAAGAAATGTCACGTTTGACCTAGGCAACAACACCAACCTTCCTGTTCTTGCGACTTGGGATCCCTTACGATTCGGCGGCGAGAAGGCGCAAGCAGTTGGCCGCAAGCTACTGTCAGACTATGTGTCCGGCAAGAATACGACACTGACGGCACGTACCCACAAACGGAGTGTCCCGAATGTCCCTATAATCGGCGAGGCCTTGTCGAAGATCAACATCACTCTGCCTACACCGCGAATAACTGTCCCAGGCGAGGACGAGCACGGAGACGAGAAGCCACACTTTATCGCAGATGCCACCTTTCATCTCTTTTCTTCGACAGCCACTTTTACACTTCTTTCTCCGTTGCTATATAACACTTTATACATAGAACACATAAACGCGACTGCTCTTTACAACCACACTGAACCAGTCGGTCAGATTATACACGATGAACCTTTCCCAGCAACACCTGGGCGATCCCAGACCCCGCGCTTGCCAGTCATATGGTCTGCCAGCAGCGTGGGATATGGCAAGCTGAAAGAAGCACTGGGCGGATCGCTCAAGCTTGATGCCATAGCCAACGTGACTGTGAGATTGGGCAGCTGGACTGAGAAAATCCATTATAAAGGCAAGGGAATCGGGGCAAAGGTCAGCCTATAGGTCTGATCAATCCTGTGAGGCCTTGACACAGAAGTGTTTGGAGTTAGTGGTTCTTATTTTTTGAGGGGAGGGGACTTGCTTGGGATACTGGCGTGTATTATTTCTTTTCCCTTATAGACACCTAGGATACACGAAATTGATTTCTTTGCAGTATGACACATACTGGTGTTCTGTTTCTGGATCACGCGTTGTGTGAACGAGTTGTTGAAGTGAACAGCAACTATTCTCCAGCAGTTCAGCTTTACTGATTCTAGGAACAACCACCTCTATGCAGAGCACACAAGGAAAACAATCACCATGACCATTTTCCCAACAAAGGTGATGTTCGTTGAACCTTCACATATTCGCAGACCACTAGTAACGAGCATCTTGGTATAAAAAGCTCGTTTGTGCCAGCCCTGACGCCAAGAGCCATTCAACTAACCATCTTTACATTCTCTCCCGCAGGCAGGCTTTGCAGGTAAGTCACAAACAGTTAACCGGCTAATCATTCTAGGTCCTCGATTTCACGAACAATCATGGCTTCCCAATACCCTCCTGGACTCACATTTACAAAGGTGAAGAACTCCAGCCACCACAACAGTGCGGCCCCCCTACCATTGTTCTCATCATCAGCTGGTAAGTCAGATCAGGAGTCG